ATAATTTACTAATACTTAGCATTTAATCTAACTGTCATTTAAACCATAAACTACAAATAAACACGATCAATTAAACAATTAGTTTGATAATTTACATATACTTTTATATGTCAAAAATACTTGGAATTAAAGTGGAATGTATATGAAATAAGCTAACATTTAGAGGAAGTTGAAGCTTACATTATTTTAAATATTTTTAGAGTATTACATACCATGCCAATGCTTTTCCCTCCAAGCACAGGACGACTGTTGTTAGTCTCTCCTACTTTGTTAACCCATTGACGACAAAGTATTTTTCCACCATGTAGATCCACCAATATGCACCTTCTCCCTAAAAAACATGCATATTTAGCTTCCTCACTCTCGGATCTCCTCTATTCTCCATGTTTTCTCCATAACCTCCCATTCCCCAAGTGGGTGGTGGTTCCCTTCAAGTGTCCCGATCATCTCTTCTATGCTCGTACCCAAATCCTTTATCAAAATCCTCCCTCCTTTCAAAATCAGCATCCCTCCAGTCATAACAAGCCAATCTTCTTTCAAATTTAGTACCCCTTCATTCATACACAACCCCCTCAACACCTCTCCCCATACCTCCTACCCATCTCCACTCGAGGAATGGTCTATAGAGGAGGGATTCTTTCTTCTCCCTGCAAGATCTCTACCTCTTATTCTTCCATTCTCCTTATCGGGTTAGGGTTCTCACCACTCTTTTGGCTGCCGGAAGCATCCCTCGCCTCCACGACGTTTTGGTTTGACCTCGAGCAACATCATCATCTCCTCTATGATGATAAATTTCCCATCGATCTTCTTGTGGACGTCTAAAATTTGAGTTTGAGATATGAAATTTTAGATTTCAATTCCCCGATCTCTCCTTCCAACACTTCCACCTTTTTCCCGCCATAGGTACCTGGATCAAGGCTCGAAACAACAAAAATGACCAAAAACAATGGATCTGGTCTTCAAACATAAAAAATCAGTAAGATTAGAGAGGAAATCGCAGTGAAAATTAGCGAGGAAGTCCTGTATTTTAGCCCAGGACATGGCTTTGATTCCAGTTTGATAGGAAGTAGAAGTAATTTCAACCAAATTTTCATTGAAGAACACTAAGAAATTGGGAAGAAGAGCACACTACGAATCTTTTTATTGCACGATATATGAAAAAAAAGCAAGATACAGTTGAATCTTCAATTGGAGAAGTTGATCCGGCTCTCCCAAATCCCTAGCTGTTGGCCAGAGCTCTCACAACTTAGAAAGTACTAATTTCAGCCAAACATAAGCATACAAATTGAACCTATGTAAATAATCTACTTAAAACATACAATACATAGTAAATATCAAAATAGTCCTCTCCCTTTTGAATTTCCCTCCCAACTGCCCCCTTCTCATTCAAATTAACCCACGACCCCACCCCAAAGGGGCAAGATTCATTTAGGCGGAAGCTTGTTCTGCCTCAAGTAAATTCTTGCTGGTCTAAGAGGGAATGACCCAGCAACTATGATGCACCGACACGGCACTTAGAGAGGGTATGCAGTGTCGGACACGTGTCGGACACGGACACGCGTCGGACACGGCATGGACACTTGTCCGACACAACATTGGAGTGTCGCAATTAAAAAAATTAGCCTTGGTTCCGTGCAGTTTCTTTGGTTCCGTGGCTGCCTCCTCGGTTCTTCGACTGGGTTGTTCTTTCCCATGAAAAGCATTGGGGAAAACCGTGACTTGGTGCTTGGGTTCTTGTGGAAATTAATGATTGTGACTATTGGTATTCTCCTATCTTGCGTATAAATATGAGAAGTTTTTGTGAAGAGAGGGAGTTGATTATTTTGAGCAAATTTGCTATTGACCTGCGGGTTATTGGAAAAGCTTGCGAGCTTGTTCCATTCTTCTTTCTCCTCCCATCCGGAAATCTTGCGAGCTCTTTCCACCCTTCGTCTTGGCTTCTAACCTCCTTCGTCTCACCGCAAGTGCCACTCCATCTGTATCTTTCTTCTTGAGCTTTGGTAGTGATTGTTGGTTGACTTGGAACAGAATTGGACGATCTTGCAGTTGTGGACCATCGGTTTGCTAGCCCTATGCACTTATCTTAGTTAACCTATAATTCGATGCATGTGAGGAACCTGCTCTGATGGTTGTCTGAAGATAGCGTTGTTTTTATTTTCTTTTCTTTCTTAAAAATCTCTTCGTGCTTTCTTGTTGGATTTTGAGTGTTTTAGTTGATTACTACTATTTTAATAAAGTCTGGTTTCAGTTTTATCCATTGTTCTCTTTGTTTCAGTTTTCTTATACTTGTGCTTACATCATTTAACTGTCGATGTTAACTTTAATTGCTACTTTTGTCCTTGGGACCAAATTGAGATATTCTTTTAATAATCATGGGACTAAATTGGGATATTATGAAAGCTTGAGACTAAATTGGACATTCACTGATAGTTGGACTTTTTTAAGCTTCTACTCATTATTTAATTATGTGTAATCTTCTTATATAAAAGAATTATATAAAATATTCATATTAACTTAAAGGCTTGAATGCTTGATAAGTTAGCATAACTAAAAAATTGTGTTTAATCCAATGCATAATTGACTCATGATAACTGTGAAAGAAATTATTATTAAAATTAGTTTGTTATAACATATGTATAGTTTGTTTGGCATGTTGGAGTAAGTGTTGAATCTAGGTTTGTAGCATGCTAATTTCAATTCCTGGATCATTATTATTTTTCTTTTCATCTTCATCAAAGATTTGTACGTGTTTTTCGTATCATAGGTCAAAAATGATGTTTCACTCCTAATGTGTGATAAGTGGAACAAGAGTGGCTTCTATCCAAAATCTTTTAAATATGACTTTTTAGATTACTATTAAGTGCTTTTTTATTTGCGAGAGCATTGCCTAAAATTGTTCCTTAACTATTAATAAATGCCGAATTTAATCACAGACATTCAAAATGATCCAATATAGTGAACCGACTATTAGAAAATGTCTCAATTTGATCCAATGCGAAAAGTATAGTTAAAATTAATCCTAAAAGTTAAATTTGATGGCATTTTGGGTATTAGAGTGTATGTGAGATTATATTATTTTTTATATATTTTATCATATTAAAATAAACACAAAAATCATAATGAAAATTAACCAACTAAATAATAAGAGTGAATAATTAATAAAATACAAATCATACATCCCTTTGTTATAAAAAGTGTTATCATTGATTACAAAGATGCAAAATACTTTATAAAAATGGTATCATTCACCATAAAACTCAAACGATCATATTACAAAAGAAAAAAATCCATCATTATATTATTCAAAATGTGTAAACGTAAGCTAATACAAAAACTTCATTGTGTATGGTGTTTTACCATCTTCATCTACCCGGTCTTCTTTATTTGGATGTATTAACCTATTAACAAATACAATGATAAATAAGTAGTTATAAAACTGAAGTGCATAGGTGTTTATAAATTTTGTTCGCTAACTTACTAACAACCCTTTGTTTGACGATCATTGCGTGCACACATTCAGAATTGGTCCTGTTTGTGTGCTATAATATCGATCTAGATATGTTGACTGGATCGAAGAAACATAATAAAACAAAATAAAATATTAGTTCATTTACCTATATTTATATCACCTATGAATTTGCAATATTTTAGCTCACTAATTCGTTCACGTTGTCTGAATTTAATTTTTGAAGGATATTGCATTCTATTGTAGGTCATTCTCTGCTTGAAGTGTTTGAGTAGGAAGTGTTTCTTTATTTTTTTCTCTTTTTCTTGCCATAACTTCTAATATTTTGACCATTATGTTTACATTTAATACAATGGAGGGCTACAATTTACCCACTTAAGCTTCTTCTTTATGAGTTTCTGTTTGCTCATCTGGACCTCTTCTTATTAACTTTGGAGGGTGGCTCCTCTTAGGTTTATTTTATTTTGATGGCAATGGATATGATATGTTGCTTATAGGCCATTCGTCAAAACTATCAATAGGCATAATGTTGAACTTATAAGGTCTTTTATAATTGTCCACAGTTTAGTAGTGGTGGACAAAATTCTCATGAAGAGTTCTCCTATATTGATTGCAGCATATGCATGAAGACAGGGCCATTTAATTCTCATCTTCTGTAATGTCATGATATGAAATACAAGTCTACAGGGTACTATGCCCCTTGCATTGTAGTAATTTGCTAATTGCCATCCTTATCTTTCACTCAGTTAAAGATCTTAGCATTGCATAAATTATTTGAAAGTGCTTCACAAATCCTTGGGCATAACTTCTGATTCTACTTCATTGATGTATCCTTCTCTTGTATCCATTTCATCATCAGACTTTTGATGCTCTCAAACATGGAAATGATGGTTTCCTCTCTTTCTTCAAAAAAGATGGCATCAAAACAATTACACATACTATTAAGTAATGTATTGCAAGATGCATGTAAAATGTGAATATGTCTAAGCATTTATATCCAATTTTGCCAACTTCTTCATGTTAGATGTAAATTGGTTAACTCTAGTACTTCTAGAAACTGCCCATAAAGTATTTTCTTAGTGCAATTTCTTTGTACCCAACAAATTTGAGATGTTGGTGCAAATGACGTACACAAAATCTATTTGTAACATTTGGCAAAATATTCTCAAATGCAGGAGCCATACCGTTCTTTTTATCTGATATAAATGTGAACCTGATTTGGTTTTCAATAATGTGTAAATCTCTCGCCAACAATTTCAAGAACTATTTTTTGATTCGTTCATCGGACAAGTCATTCTTACTTCATGCTCTTAATGATATTGTTTTCTTGCAACAATTTATGTTGAAAGAATACTTTCGGAGTTAAACATGACATTTCATGAATTACGGAAGGAAATTGCTTTGTGCAAGTTTTTGCTGGTTCTGTTCAATAATAAACTGATGTAACTTGTTAACTTTATCATTGTCATTGCTTCGACTGCATTGATATTTCATTGCTAGTTCTTTTAAAAAAAATGTTTACTTGAATGTGCAGAAAACTGCAAGAAATGGTTTTCATATTCTTCTTGGAGGTATAATTGCTTTGACAATAGTGATCTTCCTTAGATTTGTAAGTTATAATTCTTCCTTTTACTAATTTGTTAGTTTCCCCCCTCTGGTTAATACTTTTTTTTGATACTTCACGATTGCAGCATTATTGCATGATTAAAGATCTTACATAGATTAATTAGTTTTCTCAACTTTATACTTTAAGTTGCTTTGTGCCTCATGTTTAAATTATGGAGTAAAAAAATTTCTACTTATTAAATCTTTATAAGATATGATTGAGGTGTTCTATTTATTAGCTATTTATAGTAAATATCAGATTGAGGTTTGCAAAATCTTCTATGTGGGCTAAGAGATTTTTTGTTGACTTTGAAGTATTTTTTTAAAAGTTTGTGGAATTTTATAATTAATTCAAAATTTTAAAGTTCATTCCTTGTTACCACCATAAATAAAGTTTTTTAAAAAATGGGGTTTGACATCTATTCAATAGGAAAGAAATAGAGAGAAAGAGAGAGTGGTTTAGAGGGAATCTTTTGGGTGCTTGTAGGGAGGAGATATTTTGCTTGTTCAAGAGATGGGTCTTATCTTTGGTTCCAGCTAGAGAATCTTTCGTTCATGGCAAGGAGAAGCTCTTATAAAGACTTGCAATAGAGAAAGGAAGAGAGCAGCTGTAGCTGTAATGTCTTCTTCTGCTCGTCCAAGTCTCCTCTTCGTAGGAGATAGTTTTATTCTCTCTCAGCATTGATATTGACAAAGTGTTGTCTTTGACCTTATTAATTTTATATAAAATATAATCTCTTTATATATCCCTTTTGAATCTTATTGGATTATTTGATCTCTGTGCACATGTGAAATTTGTTGGATCTATGCAAAAGTTGGATGTGCATGTGGTTATGCATTTGCTGTGTTTGGTTTCTCTCGTTGCACTTTGTTGAAATCTAATAAAAATTCTTATGAAGTTAATTAGATTAAAATTAATTAAATAAAAGAAAAAAGAGAGGGGGAAAGCATGTTGCTCTCATGCACGTCGCCTCCTCCCCCACATTCTTGAAATAACTACCGGCTCAATCCATATAAAACAACGGAGGAACGAACGAGAAAAAGCTATGCTCACTTACGTAAAATCAGATCATAACTACTGGCGTTTGCCCTCCTGCTCCCAGTCTCTCTCGCACAAGCCTGCAGTAGAAGCCACTCCGCCCTTCCCTAGTGCGGCACAAGTTGCTTTGCTCTTCTTGATTACGACAAACGAGCTCTTTCAACCGGATCGATGTGCGGACGAACCCATGTGAAACCCACCTGCCTCCTCTCCAACTGTTGCATTCGAGCCTTGAGCACGCCTTCGTTCTGACTGCTACGATCGAACCTTGAGCCGACCTCTAGTTTTCCCTGTACGAATGTAAGGCCACGCTCGACCCGACCTCCTCCCTCTGCCGTACTGTGCCTCTGAGCCCTCATACGAACAAGAACCCAAGCTCCCAATCTGCCTCTCTTTGCCTGGCCTTGACACCATCCAGTCTGCCTCCCACACACAGGCAAGCTTGATCCAGGACCCAACGTCTGGCTTGCCTTCCCTTCCATCTTTCACGTTGCTAAACCATCCCAGTTAATCCGGCTGTCTGCCTCCTGCGTCTGAACGATGCTTGCTTGAGCCACTTGTTCGTTTGAAATAGTAGGTGAGAGGGAAGAGAGGAAGGATATCTATATAATTATAATAATTATAATTACAATAATAAGAATGAGAAAAGCGTCACGATCGCCAAGTTGGAGGGACAAAAGACATGTACTAAGGTCGATCCTTCCCCCGAAGCTCTCGATTATTGATTTTGATCCGATCGAGCGAACCTAAAAGGGCAATTGTTCTCCTCAAACTTCTCTCACAGGGAGGGGGCGTTGAAAGACTGTCAAAATTCTGAAAAAATGCCAAATTGCAATTATTTTCCTAGCAGGTACCGCGATCACCAAATTGGAACATCGGATGACCTATACTGGGGTTGATTCATCCCCCGAAGTCCTCGACCTTACCAATTAATTTATTTAAAATCTTTTTAAATTAATTAAATTAATTGAGAAACTAATTTAAATTTAATTAATAATTAAATTTAATAAATCATGTAATTTTAAAATATATTTTAATTAATGAGCTTAGCAGTTAATTTTTATTTAAAATTTAAGCTTTTAAATTAACACAAACAAATTAAATTTGTAAGTAGAAGAACTACGAGGGGAGAGACACTCTCGTGAAAGTATGCATTCTGATTAAAATAAAAAAAATAGAAAATCAATATTTCGACTAATCAAACTTAAGTACAACTCGCACCAACTAAGCATCAAACTCTTAAAAGTAAAACAAAATTAAACAGAGAAAACTCCAAAAATCCTAAGTAAACCTAAACCTAGCTCTAAATTTTCAAGCTCCAACTCCTGGCAAACTCCAACTTTTGGTAAACCCTGTAGCTGCAAACAGTAGCTCTCGCAACTGTTTGCCATGAACACCTGCAAATAAGTAAACAAAAGTTAACGCAGGATGGTAAACAAAAGCGAGTACTAGAAAATAAACAAAGCTAGTACTATAGGCAAAACTAGTACTGTAGGCACATCTAGTACTGTAACAAAACAAAACTAGTAAGAAGGGCTAGTACTACGAGTCATATGCTACTGCTGAAGGCAAAACTACAAGTGTATAGCACTAGAAACCATGTGTTAACATGAAATACGCTATTTTTGTAAACAAGACACTAACGCTGGTGTCGAGGCAGTGATGTGTGCAAAACTACATATCTACTACTAAAGCCCTGCTAAATTAAATCCCTGCTAACCTAAGTTTGCCCAACAACTTCTAATAGAGGTCGTAAGTCTGACTTTATTTAATGTGTTAGAGGAAATCTCTAGGTAAAAGTAACCTAACCCTAAATCCCACCTACGGGACCCTTAGCTTATAGGGCTAGGTTTTAAGACCCACATTCAGGCTACTTCTAAATGTAGCAGCCGTAAGACCTACGAAAATAACCAGACATCTTCTATGGGAAGTTGTAAGACCTTCTATTTAGGAAACTTTTACAAATAATAAACCCTAAACCTAAATGTCCAGTTCACTTGCAATTAGAGCCGTAAATCCTGTCCAAAATTAAAAACTATAGGCTATTTTCAATGAAAATTGTATGACCCACTACCCAAAATTACGGGCTACTTTCAATGAAACTAGCAAGACCCAAACTTCTTAAATCTACGGGCTACTTTCAATGAAAACAGTATGACCCAAGCTTCGTAAATCTACGAGCTGCTTTCATTGAAAGCTGTAAATCTCGCCCCAAAACCAAACTACGGGAAACTCCTAAATGGAGCTGTAAGACTCAATCTAAATCTAAGCTATGAGCAACTCCTAAGAGGAGCCGCAAGTCTCAACTCAAACAAAAAAAATGTACATCTATCATCTTCAGTTTACTCGGGATTCCTGAGAGGTGGCAACCCATGGATGCTAATTAGATTCTTTGGACATAATGATCAATGATTAATAGTGTTGGTAGATTGAAATCCACGGTATTCCCTGGATGACAGAACGATGGGATCTTGATCGGGTTTCCCTCCATCCCGCACAACCAAAATTAAAATTGTTGCATGTCTAAACATTATGTCATCCTTAATTGAGAGTTCTCTTCTATGTGTTAGGAGGGATAATTAGCTATGAGGGCTCACGCTCATAAGAAGTAATAACCTAGGTCTAAATAAATCCTGATACCACAATCAGGGAAAATTTGGTTAATTACAATCTAACTCGAGGAGAATGAAATCCTTTGATTGCAAAGCGAGATTCATGCCTACGCGCCTTTTTTCCTTAAGCGAGAATGCACTTTTGCTCATTATTATTATCCTCAGAATTGACATAAAGTTTCTGTTTAACTTCATTCATAGATATGAGAAATGGAAGGTAAGAAGGTTAAGGTCTATAAATTTAATAGTTGGGACTTTGGCTATTGGAAGATGTAAATAGAAGATTAATATTATCAAAGAAAGATCCATATCCATTGAAGGGATCAAAGCCTTTTGTTATTCATCAAATGGAGTGGGAGCTAATGGATCGGTGAAAGCAGGTAAGCGTTGGGGTTATTTGCTTGTCTATGACCAATAATATTACCTTTAGTGTTCTCAATAAAAAGGCTAAAATAGGTGTGATAAAGTCATTGACAAACATGGACGTGTTGTCAATAAGATGTATCTCATGTATAAAATTTGTAATCTCAAGTTTTTTTAAGGAAGCTCTATTGTTGAGCACCTGATCGAGTTCAACTTGATCACAAGTTGGTTGAGCTTTGTAGATGTTAACTTTGATGATAAAATCTTGATTTGAATTTGTTTTCATTATTCTTTGAAAGTTTGAATATAGTGATGATCTTTAACAACTAATATGGATAAAATAAATTGAACCTAAATAATGTTAGAAACTTCTTCTTAGTGACGACATCCTATGAAGTAAGGTGAAATACTTTAATCTTTTGCTTTGTATATTATTAATAGAAGGAGAACCCATAACGAAAACAATCATCACGAGATCGAAGCATGAGTCATCACATATCATAACATCAGTAAATTTTTTTGGATTGATGTTGGAATTGTGGAATGGTAGGACATACAATGAAAGATTGTCGGAAAGGAAAGCAGGAGCAAGCTCAAAAGAAGCAAAAAGAAACAGTTAATGCTGATACAAAAATATTCCAAGATATATTGATTCTGAGTGCTAATAATTCAATGGAATTATATATATTCAACTTTGGGGCATCATTCCACTCTTGTTCTCATGGGAAGCTATTTCTTTGTGATGATGAACCCCTTAATCATTTTGGGTATCACTGATATAGTACTTAAAACTGAAAATGGGATCACCCCTGAATAAAGTCAAGCATATTCCTATCTTGAGAGGGACCTAATCTCTATAGGTTAGCTCATTGAGGAAGGTGCATTTCTACGTTCATTGTCGACCGCTAGAAGGTTACTAAATAAAAAATGGTGATTATATATAACAACAACAACATCAAGCCTTTATCCCACTACTTGGGGTCCGCTACTTGAATTCTTTCTCTCCATTGTGTCCTGTTAAGAGTCAAATTCTCATTTAAATTTAATAAAAATGGTCATTTCTAATATTTTCTAACCAAGTCTTTTTAGGTCTAACTCTAACTTTCTTAACATAGGCCAAATCTAATACATCTACTCTCCTAACAAGGTCATCGGAAGGCCGCCATTTTACATGATCAAATCATCTAAGGCGATTCTCTCTAATCTTATCTGTCACTTGAGCTACTCCAACCTTTTCACTGATATGCACGTTTCGTATCCTCTCTAAGAGTAAATCCACTTATCCACCTGAGTATCCTCATTTCAACAACACTTAACTTAATAATATGCTTCTCTTTTAATGGCCAACATTCTGTGCCATAAAGCATTGCTGGTCTCACCACCATCTTATAAAATTTTTCCTTTAGTTTGAGCGGTACTTTTCTATCACACAACAAACCGAAGCATTCCTCCACTTCAACTATCCAACTTGAATTCTACTAATAATATCCTCATCTACTTTACCATCACTCTAAACAATAGACCCAAAATATCTAAAATAAATACACTTATTAATGACTTGATCGCTCAAAGTCATAAACCCCCCCACTAGATCTATTAGTACTAAAATTACACTCCATGTATTCGGTTTTAGATCCACTCAAACGAAAACCTTTAGACTCTAAGGTTGACCTTCATAATTCGATTCGGTGAGTATATGATGTAACAAAATCAACACTATATATAGCTGCAAATATATGAATAATGAGAGCTGCAACAAGCGGAAGTGTTGATACAGATATCTAGCAACAAGGTCTTGGCTGTATGATCAAGAAAGGCCTTAATATCTTACACTTGAGCGACAATCACCTAAATCTAAAATCTCTTAAACCTAACTTTTTCAAAGATTACTTTCTTGGAAGGCATAGCTGGATTGGTTTGTTAGAGATTGGAAGAAAACTCAACCAAAAAACTGGAAATGGTACACATTGACATATGGGATCATCCCTTATCACATCACTTACTGGTTTGATGTACTTAATACTTTCATGGAGGACCCTATTAGAAATGTATGAGTTTATCTCATCAAAAATCAATCTGACATGTTTAATATTTTTGTAAGATGGAAAACATTAGATGAAAATGAAATTGGTCCCAAAATTAAATATCTTTGTTTTGACAATATTGGTATGCATGATGGGATTGAGTTTAAAAATAACCACCACAAAACAACCACAACCACAAAAAGCCTTTATCTCATTATGCGGGGTCGTCTACATGAATTCTTTTTCTCCATTATGTCATGTTAAGGGTCAAATTCTCATCTAAATATAATAAAGAAATGTCATTTCTAATATTTTCTAACCAAGTCTTTTGAGGTCTACCTCTATCGTTCTTAACATAAGTTAAATCTAATACATCTACTTTCCTAACTGGGTCATCGGAAGGCCACCGTTTTATGTGACCAAACCATCTAAGGCGACTCTTTCTAATCTTATCTTCCACTGGAGCTACTCCAACCTTTTCACGTATATGCTCATTTCGTATCCTGTGTTTAAGAGTAAATCCACTCATCCACCTGATCATCCTCATCTTTGCAACACTTAACTTAATATTATGCTTCTCTTTTAATGGCCAACATTCTGCACCATAAAGCATTGCAGATCTCACTGCCATCTTATAGAATTTTTTCTTACGTTTGAGAGGGACTTTTCTATCACATAACAAGCTCGATGCATTCTCCTCTTTAACCATCAAACTTGAATTCTACTAATAATATCCTCATCTATATCACCATCACTCTGAACAATTGACCCAAGATATCTAAAATATGTGCTCTTATTAATGACTGTATTAAAAGATTCATGTCATGATTATTTGACAAATTTTACGCTGGCTGTCGACTACTTAATGAAACCCCCATTTTTCTCATCCAGGACTTGGGACCTGACAACGGCTGTGTTTTAAAAGGGAAAGGAGCATGAGGCTACCAAGTATATCCTATGTTGATATGGTAAACTCAACAATTTGCCTCATCAATTGAGGATTATTTGTGGTTCTTGATTTTAGTCTTCTTGATGAAGCCTACAATGATGAGATTTGTCTTTTATATTAGAATGTTTTCAATTATCTTTCCTATATGTATTTTGATCAGTATAGCACGGACCAATTTGGGTTATGATAGTGTTTTTGGTTACAGATTCTAAGATATTAAGAATAAGAAAATAATTGAAAGTAGAAATATTATTTTTAATGAAACTATAAAGTGCTGAGATAGGTTAAACATCAATGTAAAGGAGGTCTCTACTATTGTGCAAGTTGAATTATAAGCACCCACTAATCTTGGCATAAAGGCACCACAGAATTTTCAAGATAAACTTGAGCCCCATAACTCATGCGATAGGAGTCAGGAGATAACAATGAATTTCAAATTCTATTAATTATATATTTTTTTCTATTTGTTATTTGCTTCTTACTAATGCAATCTATTAATTATATATATATATTTTTTATTTGTTATTTGCTTCTTACTAATGCAAGTAAACTTAATGTTATGATTAAGCTATATAGGTTAAAAAATTCATTTATTGAGAACCAACAATAAGAAGAGATGGATTATTCTCTCTAAATTTTTTTTTTGTAAATGATTAAATTGCCCAAAGATATGAAGGTTTATAATAAATGAATGTATAAAATCAGGGAGCAGAATGATTGCAAAAGGTACTGTGTGTGGTTAATGGTGAAAGACTTCCAATTAAAAGAAGATTTTTACTTTACTAAAACATTTTATGATGGGTTAAGACAACAATTATAAAGTTAGTATTGAGCATTGTAATTCTAACTTTTTTATTTAATTAAATTTTTTAATTTTAATTTTTATTTATTTATTTTAAGCATTGTAATTGTAACTTTTTTTATTTTTATTTATTTATTTTTTATGCATTGTAATGGTAACTTACACCTTGGGTAGATTAATGTCAGGGATGCCTTTATTGCAATATAGAGGATGATAATATAAAGAAAGACATCTATATAATTCAATTCTAAGGCTTCCTTGTACTATGAAGGAAACTTAGTTTGGAATCTCAGCAAAAAATTATGGTTTGAAGCAAATCTCTTTCAAATGGTAGATAAGTTTGATGACTTTATTTTTGAGATATATTTTCACATATGCTACATTGATCATCATTTTTATATAGAAGACAATAAAAATGATTCTATCATCTTGCTTTTACATGTTGCTGATATGTTGATTGCTAGGTGCTTACAACAACTTAAGATCTTTATCCCAATATGTGGGGTTGCTAGGTGCTTACCTCAAGAAAATTAATTTTCTGAAAAGATAATTGTCATTAAGTATTTGATATGAAAGACATGGGGGAAGCCAAAAAAAATTCTCAGGATGAGAATAGATCTTGATAAGATTGTAGATGCCTTAAACTATTCTCAATCTCATTACATTGAAATGTGTTAGAAAGATTCAATTTGGTGAAATAAAAAATGGTGAGCACACCTCTTGGAGGTCACTTAAATCTTTCAAAAGAAAAATCATCAAAAATAGACGAAGAGAGAGACTATAATGCTAAAGTCTGATACACATCAGCAATTGTTCTTTGATTTATTCAATGATTGGCATAAGAACAAATATTACATATACAGTGGGAACTGTCAGCTAGTATTTTACACCTTGAGTCCATAAGGAGTTAAGGGATTTAATCTCAATTCATGACGTAAACTGCAAGAGCTAAGATTAAGTAGTTTAATATTAAAAGAAAAAAAAATATATAAACATATGCCAGAGAAAATTTATAATTTTAAAATGTATGAAATCAACATTTAATAACTGAATAAAATTTTTAATGGTTTTTTATAATTGAGAACTACGAATATTAACTAATAGAAATAAAATCCGTGTTGCAAAACTAATGCATAACCTAACATAACTTTAAGCTAAAAACTATTAACTCATAAATAGTTAATCAACACATTAGTTATTGATGAAGAATTTACTTCTAAGATATTGGTCCGCCAATCATCTTCTTAGATGCTCTTAAGATAAAAAATAAACAACAGATGAGTTTTCTGGATAAACTCAATATATAATTTCAACTTATCAAAAGCATAAATGAGAATAGACATGTTATATAATATGAACAATAAAGTGGTATGATTAACTATGTAATATTGATAGAACAAATATATAATATTAGATTGAAATAATATTACATGACATGAATGATAAAAATAAAAATTAATCTTCAATGATTTAAGATATTATAGTGTTGCTAATATTTCATATGAAAAATAATAATCAATATATTTATATGTTTATGCATTCATATGTAACCATATCATGTATATTCACACACCTTGATTCGAGGCGCGCCTCGAGGCGTCCGCCTCGAACGCCTTTTTAATCGATGATATATATACAAAACATGAAACATTACTTGTTAATCATATTTGTTTTATTCATGATCCATTTGTCATGATAATGCCCTGAACAAGAGAAAAATTTCCACCCAGTTGGAGTCAAATGACCTCTAATTGAGTTTTCAGTTTATGGATTGGTCGTAAGAACCAGTTAGCACAAGAATCACGTTATTGTATTGTAAGACATTAATATTTAAGTAGTAAACTTTGATTGACCTTTTGTAGGAGGATGAAATATTATGCTAAACTCTAATCTCTTTCCTAAGGCCTTGTGAACTTTCTTTTATAGCTCAGAAGTAAATTTACCATCATGATTAGATTTGATGATGATTGAAATCCTATGTATTCAAATAATGTAGTCCATGCATATCTTTGCCATCTTATGCATGAGATAATTTTGCTTGATTGATAGAAAAATGAGCATTCTTTGTTCAATTAACCATTACCCAATATTATGACCTTCTTTAGATCTAGGTAAGCCAATTATAAAAGCACTACATTCTCTTTCCATTGTCATTCCGAAAAATGAAAGGGGGCAACTCTCCAAGATTATGATATTCTTCATTAATCATCTAGCGTGTTGAACACTTAGTTGCAAAATTTAAGGCATCTTTTTGTTGACTTGTATATGGATGTAAAAGAACTTTTTTTAAATACAGATTAAGTACCTTCTTGACACTGTTCGACACCGATTCTCTCTACAAGAAGATCGTGCTTAAATCTTGTGCATCCATCTGGTGTCATGTCTCGCACGTCGATGACATTGGATCCCATGACCTCCGTCCTGTGCCACGTTTCGCTTGCATCGTTAAAACAAGAAGGGTTGATGCCTCGCATTCTTCCTCAACACCAAGCCAATTGCACTCCACTGCTTGAATTTGTATTGATCTCCCCCACTTGATTGGCCACAAGACCTCCCTATTCGAGCCCCTTGCTCGTGCCTTGCCTTGACCGAGCTCAGCTCGACGGAAGGGGACTCATGGCGAGAGACCTTCAAACATGAATAACTTGCAAGCAACCTCAGTCATCTATGAAATGCATGGACATCTTTTATATGCAATAATGAGAGGCTTGTTGAGCAAATAACCGTCAACTTGTAGATTGAAGTGGCCTGCAATTAATGGTTGATGTCCATCATGCATACAATAAACCAAATGAAGACGATAACAAGTAACATGCACTGAATGCAATAATGCCTTGTAGTCAACATCAACATCTTGCATGCAACTAATGTTACTGCAAATAAATATGTTGGGCTATCTATAATTGATGATAATAGAAATGCCGCTAGTACAATGATTTTCTTACAAGCATCGTAACAGAAGTACAAGTATAAAACTTATGAAGCGATAGTTTGTATGCATGCAAGTATCAAGGGCTTGCTATAAGCATGAACACCCACAAGCAACTGTAGGAAGCCTGCCAAGCTACAGTAGTCCACCTATGGGTGATGACAAATAATGTGCAGTAGATGCCAGATCACATATGTAGTCACCTATCACTCAATGCCAGACAAAGGCACTTATCTCTTGCAAGCAAAGAGGATTGACTTGCAACATATGTAATCACCTATGAGTTACTGTAGGGGACCCGTCATACATACAATATGTTATTTGCAAGAAAATATAAAAGAGCTATAGTCCATGCAAGTACCTTCAAACAGTATTGGAGAACTTGAGGTGTATGCGATTTTTTTCCTATGGAAAGTGATAGGTGACCTATAGCAACACTTGCAAATAATAGCAGATAATCCATTGTGCTATAATAGCCTACCTATGGATAGAAATAAAAGATATGTACTCAGCCAGCTTGCCCGCAGGTAGCAGTGAAAGGCTTGTAATGCTTACAACAGTGCCCCCTACGGACACCTACAAACAATGATAAAAGAGATGCTACAAGTATGACAAATCCCCTATAAGCATAGAAGCACATTCACTTTGCCGGAGCTGAAGGCTTTGATGATCAAATACAACTAAGTCCTCCAATTGGTAATTCCAGAGATCTCGATAATGACAGCTGGGTATAAAGTCAACCTGGTGTAAAGAGGAAGCCTGTTGATGTGTCACAAGATAAAGGTCCCAACTGTGACACTAAGCATGTGAAGTTGAATGGTTCTGCAGAGTCAAAGAATGAGTAGTTGAAGAAAAAAATGTCTAATTCTATCATCTCTTCAGAAATATTGAAGTTCCCGGAGAAATGTCGTATTATTTGAATGTAAGACAAATACCCGGAGATCATACATTACAACTTGAGGTCCTACATGTGCATCGTAAATGCATGGAACGAGTCCTTGAGCACATTATCTTGGACTATAGGAAAAGCCTCCGCATCTTTTGTGCATATCAGATACCAGAATGTCGTTTGGATACTGAAAACTTTCCAGTGTTCTATCCCATCCATGCTTCGAGGAGACTACCTTGTGATGAAGCAGAGTCCAAGAAATCTAATAGCACATCAGCCAGGCCTTTTGTCTCATCAGATTATGATGCCTCATTTATCACAAAATGACTTCATATAGCTTGAATGTCCTCATCCAGTATGACCAAGGATTAGATTATTCGTGTACTTGATCTCTTTAAGAATAAGAAGATAGAGATTGTATTAAAACAATGAAGTATCTCATGGTTATTCCGAATGCAATACTACGATTCGCCTGGAAGCAAAAGCAGGGAATCTGTAGTAAAAATTGCAAATCATAGGTGAACCAAAGTGATAAACTTACAGCGCCACGTCACCGGATTTGCAACACTCATATAAGTTGATAGAAGACGTTTTGAGATTCCTAATTAAATTTGGTGCGTTTATCAACATGGGTTATTTGCATAGTTGATAATCACAAAACACCCATTTACACTACATGCACATGCAAATATTTTGAAGTGTCCTCATACATGCGTATGCATAATAATTCTTTCAAGGCATGTCTTTTGACAATGTAATCATATCTCAAAATAATCTCTTCGCATATATTTGCAGGATGCTAATGATTTCATTTTAGCATGCCGTCTTGACATTGCTATAGCATGCTTTTGTAGGATGCCAAGGATTTTATTCAAGCATGTTGCTCGACATTGTAATTACATTTCCATTGATCTTCCGAGTGCCGATATTTCATTCAAGCATGTACAAAACGCATCATACATGCATACATACAGCTACCATGCAAATGCATCATACTGAATGCATTCAACAGGAAGATACCCGCATGGTCTCCGATGAGCGTATTGTTGGTACACATGTGACGTTTGAGGATGCTGCAGAATTTGAGTTTGAACTCAACCCTCTATCTGTAAGTGGAAAAAGTCAATAAGGGTCAAACCCATAAAATGAAATGGCCTATAAATACCCTGATGATGGTCGTGTTGATAGAAAATCTCAACTGGAGGGGACCACAAACATTCAAAAATGCCTCCTAAATGCCCATGAAAATTCAAGATTTCAAAATAATAACCTAAAATTAAGATTTTTAAAATTAAAATTAATCATCAGTCACTTAAAGTAAAAATATTCATCCACCTTCCACAACAATTTGCCGAGGTGGACAAATCTGAAAACTACTTCCGCTTACAAAGAGCTAATGTCTAGCCATAATATCATTAGAATTCATTCTCAATCCATCTCTTGCTAGTAAGGATGTGACACATGTTTTAACTGGCAGTTTTGCCACCAAATAGCACTGCAGGTAAGAAGTTATGACTAAGGCCCTCCGAACTAGATGATTCGCCATCAAATGGCACCACTAAATTATGGTCATGGCCAGAGCACGTATGTTCTCCAATGACATTAAATCATCATGATATGAATCAATAGGATATAATCGATGTTGCACATAGCTCTTTGTCAACTAAGATGGATTCAATTTATCACCTTAAATAAATATTCACGTAAGGTCTGTAAGGTTCCCTTGGACGAAGCAAATCATGGTTGTCGACAAGAATTCTTTTGTCAGGTTGGGTCGACTATCTCCTCTGACTAAGTAGACCAGAGACCATGATGGTCAGGGGTGATAAAACCATGGGATCTTGATTAGGCTCGTCATCATTCCCCCACCATTCGTTTTAAGTACGAGGTGGTAAAATTTCTAATTTTAAATATTAAATTCTCTAATACCTAAACCCATGCTGTTACTATATGCCAGATACTATGTATTTGTTTGATGATTAGCCTTAATCAAAATTTCTCTCTGGTTTGGGCGAAATCTCTAGGTAGTGTGTTATTTCAAACTCAATATGCCTTCTAAAAATTAAGCGTGGAGTGGCTGGGGCGCGAATTTTTGGAGCCCACACTTTTTTTATACCTTGTAATTGGGATAGTTATTTTAAAACATGATCTTAAAGAGGGAGAAATATGTATATATAAGTTAGCCAATCAAAGATATAGGAAAATTAATGATTTTGTTCAAGTGAGGTGCATTAAGGATGAAGATCAAAAAGTGTTTTTCTTAGGTGGGATATTCATCATAGGTTGATAAGATTTTTCGATAAACTTTTCAAAGAAGGTTGTGAGAATATGATCGACTTTAGTGATTTTAGCACCTTAGGTGAAAATAGAGATTTTTATTTTTATCATCATATTTGAAAAATCGAAGTTGGAGAGACCTTAAAGAAATTGAAGGGTGAAAAAGCAGTAGGACCTGATGATATTTTAATTGAGTGTGAAAATGTTTAGGAGATCAAGGAATTTCTTTGCTCACTGAACTCTTAAATATTATTTTCAAGACTAAAAAGATGTCGAGTGAGTGAATAAAGAGTGTTGATTTTTATTTTTAAACATAAAGGTGATACACAAAAGTGTGAAAATTATAGAGGAAATAAGTTATTGTGTCATACAATAAAATTATGAGAAAAAGTAATTGAGTATAGATTACAAGAGGATACTAATGTTTCTCAAAATCTATTTGGATTCATGCTGAGTAGGTCTACTATGGAAGCTATACATTTGTTGAGATATTTGATGGAGACGTATATAGAGAATAAAGATGATCCACATATGATATTTATTGATTTAGAGAAAACATATGATAAAACTTAAGGGAAAAATTTATAAGATGGTATAGTGAGACCTACAATGCTTTATGGCGCAAAATGTTGGCCATTAAAAGAGAAGCATAAAATTAAGTTGTGTCGTAGAGATGAGGATGCTCAGCTATATGAGAAACTTTACACTTAGAGGCAAAATGTGAAACGAGTATATACGTGAAAAAATTGGAGTAGCTGCAGTGACAGATAAGATTAGAGAGAGCCGTCTTAGATGATCTGGTTACTTAAAACGTCCTCCTGGTGACTAAAAAAAGTATATTGAAACAAATATTGATATATAGGATTCAAAGCAGTAATTAAGCTTTTCACTCGAGGTTTATTTTAGCAATATATATATATATATATATATACACACACACATAATATTTACTGTAAGTTCAAGTCAAGTCCCAACAACAAGACTTTGTGATGCATCAAAATTTCTAATAGCTTTGAATCTCCTGCTCTGTACCCTTTTTACTTCTTCAAACTCCCCTCTAATTTTAATAGTACAAATGGTTAATTAACAACATGGAGAGCATGAAGCGCTGGTTAGTTACCTCCATTATAGTTTTGTAGGTCAAATGTTGGAATTGGGGGTCAGTTGCATAAATTAGCTCCTCTCAGACCACGTATTAGTTGGAGCTTTACGTCTCAGTATGCCTTTTTTTTTTTTTTTTAAAGTATTAACTTCTGCGGTCAAAAGGGTTCCCTTTAATGAACGATTCATAACTTCATATTTCCGTTTTTGCTAAATGAATGTTTTTATGTGCTTTATACAAAGAAGCCCAATTCTATACTAGGACTACTTATGTTTAGTCCTGCAGCCCCAATAGTAACCCACAACCTTAAATGGCGAGACTCAGGCCTCATTTGGTTCCCGATGCCTTTTTTCCTTCTTAAACGGAGGTTCTAAGAACGGGTAAGTAGAAACTTTTTCCGTCTCAGATCGGCAGATATACGGAGTTTTAGGAAAATGATTTTTACAAAAGTTGTCTAAACAAACATAAAACATCAACCCTTTTTTTCCTATTCTAACCGGAAAAGGCGTAATTACGTACAAACAAACGAAGCCTCAGCAATTGATAGTCCCTATCCGCTGTTCTCAACCAAACTGATTCTTCAGATATTAGTCTCTAGTTTAAATTATCGCATTCAGTATCTATTTTGAACTGTAGCTCATGGCTAGCTTTTTAACCATCATATTTTAGAGCCCATCCTAATTTTATTCTTCTACCAATAAATTTATTAATCACTTTTGTAGCCGTTATCTTAGTATTATTATCATAGTTCTTATGCAGAATTTCTTTTTTCCACTTCAATGTCAGGTTGTTCTATCAAGAATCAAGTATGGTCCGGCCAGGTATTGGCCAATACTAATTGTATTCTGGTTTATTGTTTTTGGTATCTGGGCTTCCAGAACTCGTGGTGCTCACAATGCATGAAACCTATATTGTTTTTATGTTCTTTTTAAAATTTAAAAAAATTTATATATTTTTCTTTTCTTTTCTGCTGTAGTGATTTAGCTGTGCCGTATTGCTTTTACTACTCCTTTTGTATGATAATATTCTTGTACCAAGTGGTTATTGTTGTTTATAGTTTCAAGTTTGGGCTCCTGGTTCATGTTTTCTGTCGTTGATGCTCTGTGCTGGTTTAGTTTTACTGCATCGAAGTTATGTATAATTTTAAAATGTGTTGGAAGTTAAACAGCCGCACTACCATTGTTGTTCAGAGGCCTTAAGAGTAAATTTTTTATTTATTTGGAATTTAGCTTACGGAATATGGTTTAGCTTAGTCAGTTGTAGAGTAATAATGTGATAAAAAAAAATTGTTATGCAAAGTACACTAATTGGATATGTTATATCTTTGTAAATGTGTGGAGTTCTTGAGAGATGAAAAACAAGAACATGCTCACTAGAAAATATATCTTGCCATTGTCGAGGAATATTATTGTAGCTGCTTTAAGATCAATTTCGAAGTACTTTACATGTGAAGTTATTTGATTTAAAAAATAAATGTATATTTTGAGTTATATGAACCATATAAAATTTATTCTTGCAACTTGGGAATTTTTTTTTTTTTTTTTAATTTTTTTTTTATATTAAAAAGCTGCTTGAAGGCATAAGCCCCCCTCCCATAAAAAAAAATTACTGAGGAAAAGTAAAAAATTGATAACTGCACTTCAACCTTGTCACAATATAGAGCCACCCTTCTGGTTGATCCGAGCTCTTTTTTGAGCTGATAGATTTCAGCTTTAGTTATAGCAACTTTTTGACACCCCCAAAAAAAAAAAAAAAAAAAA